TGTCTGTCCATAAAAAGGTATATCAGAAATATTTAATCTGTCTTAATCAGTTTTATTTTTAAGCATACACCAAGGTGATGGCGTCCCACCACACCAGCTGACTGTGAGGAGAGGAGGTCTCATCATGAACTGGTGCCAAATCTGGTGGCCCCCTGTTGTCTCTCTGGGATCCTTCCACCTTTTCACACACCAAGAAGAGAAGGATATATATTTTAATGAATAATTTCAGCAGACAGGGTTTGATGTTTTAGAATCTGTCAGAGTTATCCAGCCAATAAAAACTGGCTTTAAAAGTTGAGAGGGCCTCATCTCTGACCGCTGAATGATCACAAATCTACAGCAGAACAAATCAAATTATCAAGATGCTAAAATCTGAAACCGTAAATATCCTGCTGCCACAAAACAAACAGATTGTTCTGAAAAGGACTCTGTTTATTCCAGTCATGAGAATCCTGCACCATGTTCCTGAAAGGAAAAACAAACACACTCAATCCAACTTGGAGATCAGGGATTATTCATGCCAACCTTTAAAATGCCATTTAAAGTTATTCTGAGCTATTTGAATGAAGCGAAATCACCCTTTTGTGTGTTTTGACTCTCTTTTGAACCATTTTTTACCATTAAATATATTCCTTGTTATCTTTTTTTTTATAAGATCTAGAATGAAGTATGCCCACAGTTCATGGGAGAGCATCACTGTGGAAATAAATACCATCAGAGTATGAATAGCTCAAATGTTGGTTTAAAGGAGGTTTGTCAGCGTGGCTGTGCCAACAACAACAGCCAGTGTGAGGTCAACAGAGGGAGTGGACATCATGAGAGAGAGAAAATACTTGGTTTGCTTGGAAAAATCCATCACGCAGACATCAGTGCCAGATTTGTTCACGTCTAAGAACTAAAATTGCAGTGATGCGATGTGAGTCGGATCTTTTGGATCATCTAGCTAAATAGAGCTGGTTCTTTCGGCTCCTCGAATTTTTATTGTTGCTTAAATTAATACCAAAGTGTGTGTAAAATAAATTACTAATGTAAATGTTTACAACATCTTAAATATTTATTCATGTGGCAAAGCAAAATCGCAGAGTTGTAAAGCAACTAAGTACAAATACTTTGTTACTGTACTTAAGTAGAATTTTTGGGTATCCGTACTTTACTTGAGTAATTATTTTTCAGCCTACTTTTTATTTCTATTTCTTCCATTTTCACACAATTATCTGTACTTTCTACTCCTTACATTTTTTTTAAAAAGGCAAGAAGTAGAAAGTCGTTACTTTTATTCATTTTTGCTTGTTTTCATKTCCACATTGTTATTGTAAAAAATAAATACTATCCAAATAAACTGTGCCCCTTAAAGTGAATTTGATTGTGGCTGAATGAGAAGTATAAACTGTAGGGGTCACCTCGGGTGAGGAAACAAGATTTTCTGCCTTATCAAGAAATTCCTTGGTAAAAGTTTTCCTCACAACCTTGTTTATGAGAGATGAGGGAAAAGCTTATATTCCTATTAGCAGCTCTTACACAATGTATAAAACTCTGATAGTGTATTAGTTTGTACACAAACAAATCATGTCACACTCCAGCAGGACAGAATCATTCAAATTAAAGGACTGTACTTAAGAAGTATTTGCATTTCATGAATTATATTATTACATTTGGCCGCAGCCCTCAGATAGATTTTCATTTTGGGGAAAAGCTTTGTGCAGCCTTGATATATGTATATAAACTGAAACAGCTGGACTAGTGCATCCTAAATTTAACATCCATTCATTCTTTTAACACAACAGTCATTTCTGCAGGTTTTGGGGAGGTCACCTCCTAATAAATGTCCTTACAGAAAATCTAACTGCTCATTTTAAATCGTTACTTTGACTTTTTATACTTAAGTACAAAAAATATCAGATACTTTAAGATTTTTACTCAAGTAATATTGCTAAAGGAGGCTTTAACATTTACCAAAGTAATTTTTTTGGTAAGATTCTTGTACTTTTACTCAAGTATCACTTTGTGGTACTTTAAACAACACTGCACAATAGAAGCAGCAGCTTCCAAAACCAGGAGCACCAAGGAAAGTGGGGAGTGTTTGAAGAAACAACAGCTAACAWTTCAGCAGCACTGAAGGAGGCAAACAGCCGAAACRTTAGCTGTTGCTTGCTCAATAAAGACAAACTTTTACCACTTTATTTTAATTCATTTCTAAATAAAAGGTTTCTGTGCTGCTKTAGTGGTAACCTCCTCTATCAAACTTGAACGGAGAGCTCTGGAAGCTGGAGGAGGCGTGGCTAAAGACAAAACAAGTTGATCAATAGAAATGAGATGAAAGGGGGGCTTGTAGAGTTACCATAAGGAGGAAGTCAGATCAAAATGTTGCAGTTCCACTTTAGATAGACGCCAACTGAAGGATTTAAATGTGAAAAAGAAGGATTTAAAAGCATGTCTCCTTTAATTAAGTAAAATGCAGGCTATAGCCATTAATTGCAGGATGAAGAATTGAATAAATGCACATTTTCTGTCTGTATTTTTCAGTTCCTACTTGAACACTGACCCCCCAGCCTCTCAGTCCTCTTCATCACAGCCATTATGATCAACTACAGCAGTACTGAGTCCTGGCTTTTCATCAATACTTCATCACCTCTCCTGTCAGTAACAGGCAGTCTAGCCAACAACAGCGGGATGGAAGCGTATCTTCAAAGACTGGCACACTTAGATGAAGGACTCTACAATGACTTCTATGGTCTCTGGGTCGCGCTGATAATCATAAACTCTTTCATTTTCTTGGTAACAACTCATATCAGCAGTATTTGTTAGATTTGCTTCCCCTTCGTCGTGCATCATCTCCCTCTTGTCTTCCAGGTGGGCATGGTTCTGAACACAGTGGCTCTTTACGTTTTCTGTTTCCGCACCAAACAAAAAAGCACCTCAGTGATCTACACCATTAACCTGGCCGTGTCGGACCTGCTGGTGAATCTCTCTCTGCCCACTCGCATCCTGCTCTACTACAGCGGCGGCTCCTGCCTCACGTGCTCCTACATGCACATCTTCAGCTACTTCGTCAACATGTACTGCAGCATCCTRTTTCTCACCTGCATATGTGTGGACCGGTACCTCGCCATTGTGCAGGTGAGCGTTGCTCGGGTTTAAAGCGGTAGTTCAGATCTGAGGAGGGTTCTGTGGAGACGTTATGGACATTTAAAGGGAACGTAGAACAATGTAGAACAACGTAGAACAATGAAGCTGTGGCTGAACTTAGAGCTCCTTCAGCGACAGACTGCTGCATCCGAGGTGCACAAAGGAGCGTTATCGCAGATCCTTCCTCCCATCAGCTGTCAGACTCTATAACCAGCACTATGCATAAAAAATCACAATAAGTGTTTACAAAAATCACAATAAGTGTTTACAAAAATCACAATAAGTGTTTACAAAAATCACACTAAATGTT